TGATGTTGCTCTTAAACAAGGAGCAGCTATAGATTATTAAGTGTAGTGCATATGCCACCAACGTTAATAAATCATTTGCTTTCTCAGGGTGACCTTATAATTATGAAACGGTGCAAAAGCCGACACTATCTTTAAAAAATTCATAAAAAATTTGAGGTGAAGGATATTGCGACCAAATTTTGAATACGGAGGTACATTGTGATGAGGAATCTTTCTGTGTTTGCCAAAAAATTCCATTCCGGATGCTTTCTCCAGAATCGCAAAAATCGAGGGTGACCTTATAATTATGAAACGCACTGTACGTTGCATAACCCGTTGCCATTTTCATAGAACTGTAGTGGCGTATGAATTTGGCCCAAAAGACGGCAAGTGGGTTGGTGGATGTACTCATGAGTAGGAACCTTCCTTCTTGTCAGATGTCTTGTAGCAATCAATCGACCTCAGAGGAATGGAGAGTATAGTCAGCCCGGGCGAGTACCGTTCTAGGATTTGAGCCCTATACCAAGCTCTGGTAACGGCGCTCTTTAACACCTCTGGCTCTTCACTTCATTTTGATATCTAATTGTAGGGAAAATTTATGCACACCAAGTATGAGAAATACAAAAAACCATGATAGAAAAAACCAAAAACCTGAGCGGTTCTGGAGCAACCAATTACTTTACAGCCTAGGTCAAATTCTTACAGAATCACTTCATAAAGAGTCATAGAAAATGATATATATGCACATAAGCAAGCAAATAAAACATGAAACGAAATAATCTCCAAATCGAGGTTACACGTGAACATATGTAGCACAGTAAAACGGAGTAGGAGCAAGCATTAAGTGTCGATTGTGGCAATATGAAAAGAGATCGTAGTGAAAAACAACCCTTCTCGTAAAAATAACAAAATAAAACAACAACAAGTGTGAGTAAACAACAGTTAATATGTCAATCAATTTCATCTAAATCCTTTCTAGTTACTAAGATGAACTGCGCAAGGAAAGTAGTCTTGGCAGGATCTGAGAGCTTCAAACGAAGTGAAGTTGTATTGGTGGAAATATGTTCTGTAAAAAGCATATAATTTTCACCACAATCATTTCCAGGATACTATAGAAAATAAAGAAAATGGATAGTAATGATGGAAAGATATTAGATGTTAATGATACAAAATCGGAACCCACGCGGGATGCATGATGTAGACTAACAATAAGACGTAAGAATCTGGGCGACAGCGAACGTGGGTTCTACGCCCACTTTCATCAGTTCCAGATTTCGTCTTTTTTTGGTAGACCCTCCAGGGACCATCACTCCCAAGAATGTTTATATCGAGGGTCAGGGCAATCTAGGTTTCACAAAAAAATGCCCTACTATATCCTGAACGAAGGACGTAGCTGTCACCGTGTAAATCCATCAAAGGAAACCTACATAACAATTTGTTTGATAAAAGACCGAATAGAGACCCTACCATACCAAATTACCCACCCCGAACAGTTGTAAACAAACAATTGATCAGCAAAATATAATAGATGAGCAACAGAAGGCAATAACACTCCACGGAGAAGCTTGACTCTTGGCGCCAAGCTAGAAGGACAAGCTGAGATAAGCAGATAAATTCTAGATTCCAAAAAAAAAAAACAAAAGTGCCCTATAAACAACACTGCCACCTTCCTGATAGAACAGAAAAAGGCAAGGCGGGTCTTTTAAGTAAGTTCGTCATGGGAAATCCCTAAGTTAAATAGAAACGACGCAGGAGGGAAGAATACTCTGCTAGAAACTAAACTGGCGAAAGTAACTTACTTAAAGACTCTACGTCTAGCACAAAATACCACTCGGAATCAGAAGCTGAAGAGGTGTCTGGTATAAGGGTACAAGAGTAGTTCTGAGCCTCGTCGTACAAGCTAAAAGAAATCATCAACGCATATAAAATGTATAAACAATGAATTAAGTACACGAGTGTGAGACCGTTTACCTTGCTTCTTGCACCGCACACCTGGGTGATGCCCTTCGACGTATACGAAGTGGGAGAGGCGAACCGTCCGAAGAGCTGGCATTAACGGGTGTGTATGTAATTAACACCGAATAAATACAGAGCACCTGAAATTCGGGGTTAAATAACTTTGTAAGGAACATGCACCCAAAAATTGCTACACTCCATCCATTCGAAGAATTGCGACATTTCGTCAAAGGTAAACTTTTTTAAAACTCGCCATTGCTGTTTTCCCTTTGGAAATCATTCCCAGAAGACGAGAGAGAAGAGGCGTTGGAACATTTCCAAAAAGAATTGTCCGCACATTATACTGCAGATCATTACAACATTAAAAGAGAAGTTCTCAGGTCGTAAAACTCAAACCACCAAAAATCACCTCTGCTGATAGGGAAGACACACGAATTGTGTGAGTTGGCGAGACTCCTCTATCAAACATCACTTCACATTGCTGATCACTTATCAACTTCTGTTCAACACTATCCCGGACAAAGCTCCTCAGATGATGCTCCCAATCGGCAATCATTCCGCAAATGTTTGTAAAGGCCTTCTTGTTCTAAAAATTAAAAGATTTCATGGGCATGACAAGAAATTGTCAAACTGCTGAAATATATGGTATTACAACAAATTATTAACTTTCAAAAAACGAGCCAAAAATGAACAAAATTCAATCTTTTTTTTAAACGCTCACTAGCGCCTTTAGAGAGATCCGTTCCGCAGGTGATCCGTCGGGAAAAAACTGAGTCGTGTATTAAAATTACAAGAAAAAGCCAAAGTGAGTTTAGTTATTACTTCTCATGTTTATAAAACAGTATTGCTTTTGCGTAGTACGAGCAAAAAGGACTAAGTACCGTAACGCTTCGACATTTTCACGAAAATCCCAAATGCTGGAGCCTATGTGTACTGGAGTTGTTCGCGCTACTCTTTTTCTAGCTATTTCGCAAGGTTCGGTTTGTATTACATGGCTATAACAGTAATAATAAACCTCTGGAGTCAGGTTGGGGACTGTTTTGCTACTTCCTTTACTCGCTGGTGACCACATCATATCCGTAATGTTATCGTTTTGCATCTGAAAGGACAACTGAACAAATAAATGTAAATAAAACGACGAGAAGAAAAAACATGAATAAAGGTATAATAGGTGTGGCAAGTAGATTTTGTGGCAACACAGAAACATTTTAATACTTTTAGGTACATGATGAACAAAACGACTACCCAGGATCCTCCGAATTAAATCCCGAAAATCCATCACGGAGGATTTATGAGACCATAAAGCGATTCCAAAGTCCAGAGCCATACTTTGGCAGCATGGACCTTTCGATCAAGAGCTACGCGGCAACAGCCTGGGTTATGAGAGTACTAACCGCCACCGTACTAACACGCCACCGATTCGAACAAAATCTTCGAAAATTTAGTTTATTGACGGAACACTTTTGAAAAATTTTGTATGAGCTCCGTTTCGTTAGGTAACCCTCACATCTTCCTAATACTGACAGCGCGCTGTAGGAAGGAGAACAATGACTGAAGATTAAATTAAAGTTATTTCGAGATCGAGGCACATATGAAAACAGGTTTGGTGAGGTGTAACGGAGTAAACTGCATTATGTGGATATCGGATAGGAAATGTCCAAAAGAGAATGAAACGAAAGAAAAACCAGAGCAAGGAAAAAGAATGTTAACTAACTCAGCGATGGCACAAAACGCTGATCTTTCAAATAAAATATGTGGAGAGGGAATCTTATACAGCAGAAATCGGAGTGGCGTTTCAAAACACAAGCCAAACCAAACATGAATTCGCTATTTCCAAAGAAAGTCCATGGAATGGCAGCACTACGTATGAATACGAAAAATACGAGTTAGGAAAATAGTTATAAGTATAAATAAGCAAATAAAAAAGCGGCTGCAAAAACGTAGTAAAAGGTAAACTAATAATGCAAAGGGATACCCTCAGAAGACTAGCTAGCAATTCGTTGACGGTCATATCAGCATCAATGTTACCTGGTGATATATGCGAGGTGAGGGCATTCATATCGAAGCCACTTCGAATAAACTCGAAAAGCTGCAATTAGAGCAATCATTTGAAGAACCGATAGTGCAATTAAACAAAAATGATACCGTACATATCGAGGATTTCCCTGCATGGCGGCAATATGAGGGCTACTTACTCTAACACCAAGAAGTTCGCATTCAATCGTAGCACGTTCATAGGGGACACCTCAAAGAGAACGATACTGGGACAGAAAATCAGGAAAGGTAATAGAATTCGGAAACTCGTTAGATATGGTAGTGGGAAGGAGAAATGAACCGACCCCCATGAACGAAGGCCAATTTCTGACAGTGAGCTCCATATCGCATGCAATAAAGAAAGTTCTGCAGACTGAAGGGAGAGGACGTATTCGTGAACACTTCTTGAAATGGACTGATAGAAATAAGTTCAAATAAAAGCCTGAAATAGGATGGACTAAGGTGGCTCGGTTAGGCTTGCAATACCATCTCCTTACCTGCATTTCCAATGTGCCGCTGAACAATGTGAAACAGCTTCCAGCCAACTGCCGCTAGTGAGTTCCGATCCTACTAACTGCAATTCCAAGGATGTCGATAAATTCTCCATGACGTCTGGTCTTGATATACTGGGGTTACCAAAGATTCGGACTTTACGGACAAGATCCTGCAAAACTCGATTAGGCTCTTATTTCCTACATTTTAGCAATTCACTATTATTTCCAGAACACCAACCTTGATAACTTCAAACCTCTTTCGCTCGTCGCTTATAGATTTTAGTATTCGGATGGTCATTTTATATGACAGCTCGGAGTAACTCAAAGCGATTGCCATCAAATCGTTCTGAAGGAGTACTGAATAAACTTTCCAATAATTACGAATATAATGAAATCAAACGCAGACATAGAACTTTCCATTAGCTAATACATATTACAACTACACAGAAGATAAAATTGGTTTTGCCCCGAGCACGTATCAACGACCATTCGCCGACAGTAAGGTAAATGTAACTGTAACTTATTCCGTCAAGAGAAACAATAAAACAGAGGTTCAGCTTGACTTCAATGCACTGCCATCGAGACTAGGGAAGATAACCACCTCATGGGACGCAGTTCAATGCCACCAAATCCTCTTAAAACGTCCTTGGGTGTAAGGAGCGAGAAATCATGCTCGCAAACCCCATCTACTACCGAATCACACCGAAAACTTTTTTTGATCAGCCGCTGTAACCATATCATTACCGCTACCTTATGGTATTATCAAGAATAGTTACTCTCCCGATCCCCTTCCCACCAGTTCTTACAGATGGATCACGCATGCATCACTGCCGCTAGTACAAAATAATGCGTTGGCGTGGGATCAGAAGGTTTTCTCCCAATATTCTGAAACGACTCCCTCTAATTGTTCACTATTTCATTGAAGACACAAGAATACTACAGCATCCGGTTGATTCCACTGTTAATAATCGAAAACTCACATCAGACAGGTTTGTGTCCAATTCACGTACTCGTTTGACAAATAAAACAGAATCTTCAATGCTCTGTTCATTTGCATATTTGCGAAGCTCTGCCAGTGAACATTCCGTTCTACGAACGGCCGCAGGAAGACGGTCCATTTCACGATTGTTGCCTACCACAAGAGCAATGTCAAGAAAACATAACAGAACCGCATCACAATGAACATCTTTACTATTTTCGTCCAATTTCCGCAGGAAGTCCGTGATCTCATTAGCATCTTTCTTTACAAGTTCAGGAACTGGTAAATCGATGTACGGAAGCTGCAAATTTAATGTTTTACAGAATAAACGCGGATTATGCTTTCTGCAAACCTTGCACGAAATGTCGTTCTCCTTCAGAAACTTCTTGAGAAGACTCGAGCCTACGACGCGATATTGCCGTGGTTCTCCCTGTAAACGGAACTTCGGGTTATACCCAGAGGTTTGAAACCTTATTCTTTCCAACCTACTTCTTTTGATATATCCTTTTCGCGCATGGTAACGATCAAATGTTTAAGGTGGTTTAGATCATCTGAAGAAGCAGCAAAACGCGAACTGAAATGAGATGCTTCAGATTGAAACGCTGCAAGATTTGAAATGATTCCGAGTTTTTTTTTTGGATTAATGGAACTGGAAGTGAGCTAAAAACTAAAGTCTCGGAAGATTCCGTTTAAAAGTTTGAGTCAGTCAAATATTGTAAACGCCAAGTAGTCATCCAAAAAGTCCATTCAACGCAGTGAGTGGAAGTTCTTCAGCTTCCCGATGACTCGGAATCCTCTGTTAAATAGTCTCATGGATGAATTTGTAATGACCATCCTTTACGTTGGCACTCTGTTATAGACATCAGGGAGAAGCTCTAAAACAAACTCAAAAGTAGCTGCAAAAGTTGGAGTTGCGCTGGACCGAATATAAAGACAACTGAGCACGTGGACTCTGGTAAACAAGGCTGTATAGAAAATACTACGGGAAAAGGATCAAACGAGACGAAGGTATTCTGGAGAGCAACCTAACCGTGGAGAGCAACAAGGACCAAGTAATAGAAGCCACAGTTCATGTAGCATGTAAGAAGCGGAGACTGGTGTACACTTGAATCGATCAGGCAATCGACCCAAAGAGAATTAGAGAAATTATGAAAAGATATCAATAAGAAAGACCAATCTGACGGTAAGTGCAGGAGAAATGAATTTTAACACATTGATGTTTTGTTAAACATTCGTTCACAATCCGAAGCACGAAAAACTCACGTTATTATCTTTGCAAGCTTTTCACGTGCCGCTTGCCTGCATTCTTCTTTGGCGTTTTCTTCTAAAGCATGGAACCACCTTTCAGGTAGCCGCTCCGCAGATGAATACCTGTAAATTAAGTCTTACAGTTTCGCAGTCTTTTGACGAAGACCAACTCCGCTTCAGGACAAGCCCTACATTCGACTTCCATTCAGAATCGTAGTGGCATTTTGAATGCGTATGTTGCTTATACAATGAAATGTGGCCACCTAATGTACAAGACATTGTTGCTATTCTCCCAGACGATGGTGTTACCAATCAACCGACCCCGGCGCTCTTGGTTGGCCTGGGTACTAATGCGCAATGCGATCCTAGAATCATGGAGGGGTTGTGAGCCTTTTGTCACTACCCATTTTCCTCCTCATGAATACCTACGTACACAGATTGTACTACAAGGAAACGCGGCCATAAAAGTAGCTAGAAAGAGGAAACCTCTTCAGCCAAAAGCTTATTACCATAGCGAAGACACATATCAACTTTTGACTAATAAGGGCTCATGACTTTATACGACCGTAAAAGTACAAACACTGCTTCGCTACTTTTCTAAGCAAGCTATTGATATTTACTACAACTGACCATTGCTAAAAATGAGGCTAACCTTCGTGAATCTAAAACTCTCTTCAGTGGTGATCTGGTTCGTCGCGATGCACCATCAAAAACATAGCGTATCACCTCCAAACGTTCTTCGACGCCAACCTTCTGAAAGACTCTTAAGAAAAATGTATCGAAAGGAGCATCAGTATAGAAGTCTACTTTTTTCTTTGCCTCCTGGACTGTTTTCGTAGGGGAGCGTTTCCTCTTTCTACCTCGTTTCTTTTGCGGAATATCTTCGGCGGGCTTCTGCTGAAGTGAGAGCTGAAGCAGTATACGGCTGTGCACAAACAGGGAACCCACAACACATTTCTCGTAACTAGTAACACTTACCTTGGGACCCTTATCACGTTTTACTTCTACCTTGCAAGGACTCTGCGATAAACGTTTGTGTTGTTTCGTGATGGTACTCTACAATGACAATAGAGAGATACTGCTACATAAACATCCGATAACGATAATTCACTTACTTTAGCCTTCTTGGATGGACGGTATTCTTCATCTTCGTCATCTGTATCCACCACAAATTCTTCTAAGTTCTCCTAAAAGCCCTAGTCAGAAATAGTATCAAGGTGAGCACTACCTACATAGGCAAGATTAATGCCGAGACCAGAAAAGGCTCATTTAAACCAAAAAAAAAATTAGAAGAAGAGCATACGTAGATTACCTTTTCTTTTTTCTTCTTTCTAGTAGGAGGATCCCTTACTAACTGGGAGGCTGATTTGATTGAGTCACGATTTTTAAAAGCAAGGCGATTAACCTCTGCCAGAGTTAAGGAAGCGGCGGGTTCCTCTGAAAAAAGTGAATCAACGAATGCTTATCTATGTGCATGAGAAAATATTATATTTGGACGTATCGCGTCGAGACCAAGTAGTAATGAGGTAGAAAAGGGTAGAGATTGTGAAGCATGAACAATACTTGCTCCCTTCCTACGCCGCTCCTCATGAGCGTTGGCCCTTTGGTCATTTAACCGAAAGTGATCATAATTTTGTGAAGTGCTTACTCCAGTCGAATTGGCGTTCGAACGTCTCGTGATAAAGAGGTAGTCCGTGTTTTTGTTTGTATTGTGATAATACGTCTGTACAATCCACAAGATTTTCCTCCGGTTCCCAAGTGCTTTCGGTATCACTATATCCCACCCATTTAACCTATAAACTGTAGATTAACGGGGCTTAACCAATCGACGGAAGAAAAGGCACTCACCAGATAGACGTACTTCGAATGGCTTGTACCATGACCCGTTTGCGGATTGAATAAGATGTACCCACGAAGATCAAATGCTTCAACATACCTGAACGGAAAGCAATTTATTTAAGAAACTATAAGCTAATTATGAATGTTCTACAATCAAAATCACTTACTCTAAGTGGGTAACAATACTTTCCACTTGATATTCATCTCCTTCATCTTCTTTTTCCACTTCATCCATTCCGCGATCAGATCAAAAAGTCTGTATAATGTAAACATATGGGAATTTCACCTCAACGCATGAGATTAGTCCAGTTAAGTTCGTTTACACAGCGCAAGACCCCGGTTTTGGGAATACAAATCCGAAAACAATGTGATAGATTCGAAAAGCAAAATGCGATGCCTAGGAATACCGAAGGATAGCAAAACTCTCTCAGAAAATCTTGCAAGATTGACTGATATCGAGTTTTTGGCCCACTGAAATCACCCACTGCGTGCTATTGGGAATGAGAGCGCTCGTTATCCTTTCGGTGGAATCGGGGGCATCTTTCAGGGAATAGAGAACTGCGTCTACTCCAATTAGCCCTGCCAACCGCTCCATTTAAAAGCAAATCTCTCTACAATTCGAAACCGTTCTACAAAGCTACGTATACCGCGAAGGACAAGCAGGACAGAACTGGAACGATTCGCTTTTTTGGGAAAAGGAATTGAGGCTATTCACAACTATATTAGGTTCTGGTTTCTCAAATAAGTAGGCGGGCTACAACCTCACATTGGCCAAGGAAAACTATGAAAAAACTGCCCTAATAAATCACACTTTTGTGCAGCAGTTAAGCAAAGGTCGGGGAGAAATTTGCAAAGACAACAGAGGTACCTTTAAAATGCCTGGATTAACCTAAATCGACTATGTTTTTCGGAGTAGATGCAGGCACTCCTCAAAATATGGGCTGAAGTACAAGTCACAGAATCCGCACATCACGACATCAAACTTATAGAAAACAGGTATACCAATAACGAAAATTAATATACGTGTACAAATTTTTGATAAAATGCTGATGAATTGTTTACTGATTGCATTAAGCAAACGACAAATTAAAAATGTACCATTAGCTTATACTATGAATCTCAGTAAAGCAGAAAGGAAAATGCACCGACGACTGTCCCACATGTAAAAGCAGCTTATTACGCCACCGTACATAGTAGATGTTACTCGTATCACTAAATTTTCGATTGAAACTAATAGATAACTTCGTGGCACAACAGATAGGAGGATATATTGGAAAGTTGACTAGTAATCATCAGAAAACTATCATAATAGACTCATGCAGTTATGATTTCAACAGCATAATGTCGCCAAAAAGCAAATTTTTGAGCAAGGATTAGAGAGGTGGAACAAGGTCAATCCGTAAACAAATAAGCAAACGAGAAATCTGAACAGCGGTATATCGCAAAGTCATTCATGTAATGCTATAAGCGCTAAACGAAGAAATTATTCATACAAACTTAATTAATCATTCACAGAGTAATAGTGTGGAATAGCAACGAACCAAAGTGGACCTTCTCACAACGTCTTTGTGAGGTAAACCTACAGTACAACACTACGCCTACTTCATAAATTAATTAGTCTTGTACTACCATAGCTGAGTTTCCCGTACTTCACTTATTATCAAACTCGCTTGGTTGAGTGCCTGCAAAAAAAAAGGAAATCAAAAAGCGCTCATATGAGTGTATCTGAGTATCATAAACAAGGAAATGACGGACCTTCATTGTTTCAAGTGTCTCCTTTCTACGCTGGGCCATGTCCTCTGTTTCGGCCAGCAAATCTTCTAACAAATCCTGCTTATATAACTGTCGCACCAGTTCTGACTGAAGATTATCCTAAAACAAAACTTGGCTGGTTCAAGAGCAGATTCACATTTTTCCTGACAGTCATTCAATAATTTAATAACACGAGAAGAATGTGGAAACTCACTCTAACATAATTAACTAAGAAGTGCATTATGGCTTTCGGAACGCTATCTTGGACATTCTTGCGAACAATCATGAAATACTTCCGTATTAAGCGTTCTGAAATTGTAAAGAATAACACGATTCAACTGGAGGCGGAAATAGAAGTTCTTAGATAAAAACAAGGCTGAAGAGACAGACAAACCAATTATGAGGCAGTCTTTCTGCTCATTTCGGGTGAGCTGACGTGCAAGAGGCTTCTCAGGCACTTCGGGTAGAAGATGTGCAGCGTTCGGTGTTGCTTCTGCTGAAAGCGTACAGCAAAGCTTTCAGTTTGTTGCAAGTTAAGAATAAGGAACCAACACTTCAATCGCCATGCAGAACATTAGACTACGGGCTCAACCGCCAATAAGCCTAGCGCACTCCGAAAATTTCAGTGTCCTGTCGAACAGTTTATCTCTAGTCGCCTAACAGCAGTTGAAGCACGAAAAAATATTTGCTGCTTTGTGAGTGCATGCCTGCTCTTTGAACAATGAATACAAAGCACGATAAGTATGTTCGAGACGACTTAGGAAGTGATATCGAAAGCCAGCAGTAGGGACAAATGTGCTACGATAAATTTAAGTAAGCGGCTACTAGATATTAAACCCTGTGATGAGGCGAAAGAACATTCTTATAGAAAAAGATCTATAACCAAGCTTAGGAACTGTTTTCCTCTATTAAACATTTTTATGACTTTTTTGCCGCATGACTGAGGAATGTGGCTAGTAGCGCAGTACCCTCGACAAAACATCATAAAGAAATCGTTGCAACTGACATGACTCTTCTGGAGTAGACTTCCCGAACCACCACGATGATGTTTTCTTAGATTCACCGTTCACCATTGGAACTTTCGGAGGAACACCGTTGACAACCGCATCACCAGCATTTTGCACGGGAACAGCATTTACCATCTAAAAAATCGATTAGTGAAGAATACAGAGGTTTCAGTATGAAGGAAGGTACACGTAAAACCAAAAGTCAGGCTGGCCGAAGAAGTATTTTGTCATATCTAGCATGGTAGTTCTGCAAAAACCAGCGGACGAACAAACACATTATCGAACACAGCAACCGAAATCACCTCCTTGAGGATGTTGTAATTTGAGAACTGAACCGATTTCACAGCTCGGCGGTCGACATTCGTCATAGACCCACTCGTGCCGTCCCTCATGCGAACCACATAGGGGGCCTGACATAACATTGCTATACTACAACAGGAAGCTGATTGGTCTTTTTCTACCTATGTGTCAGAATGCAAATATCACAGTCGAGTGAACTATAACGAACACCGCGAGAAGAAAAATATCTGCTACTCAAACAAGCTATGAGTCCAGAAGTTCAACTAGCCGAGAAATTGCATGCAACACGAACACACGGAACAGCAGTAACAAAGGCCAGAAGGAAAAGGGTACGAATTGCGCATAACGTAGCAAAACACATTTTTTGCTCCTGCATCAACCATACGCAATAAAAGGTGCACCTGATCAGATGGAACGCTTGGAGCTCGATCGCCAGTTGAAGATGTGCGTTGTCGAGGTCGACTTCTATCTGAGATAACTTCTTCTGCATTCACCAGTGTCCTGTTCGCTTCACCAACGAATTCGGGATGCCTGGTGTTAATGTACGCAAGTTCGATCGCTACTTGGTTAGCCACCTATAAAGTTCTTTATTTGGCAGCATTGGTAATGGTTAGCCTTACAGCCACTTCAAACTAAAGATCTTAGACGCCAGACCCAACCTATGCTGATATTGTTGATGCTTTTTCAAAACGAAGTTTCCCTCCCTATGAACACCCTAATTTTTCTTGAGTCAAAATTGGCATTTTACTTTAAATATGCAACATGTAAAGCCTTGGGTACCATAATCTACTAATATAATGCGGTCTGCGCATGTTGTAAAAGACTTTTGTTCCAAACGGTCGAGAAATTTCCCTAATGTGGCGCACAAGCTTGCCCTTATGTATCTTGATGGAAAAGAAGAGCTGACATTATAAACAGGCATACCATCTCATTTGTGGGTCGCAAACGACTTTTTAGTACTCCACTGACTACTTCGTTGATTTTGTCGTAAAGACGCGGGAATCGTTGCATTTCCTGCTAAAAATGTTGTACTTATACTACATAAAAGGACATAATAGAGTCAATGTTGTAAATCACAGAATACTGTTTTTCGAAGCACGACTTCAAATAAACCTTGACAAAACTCCTGTAAAACTTAGTGATTTCCGATATTAATTGTTGTGCCATATAGTTTGTAAAGAAAAACTACTCATTTAGCATCAGAGCAGTTCTACAGCTTCTAAAGTGCGCACGTATTTGAGAGAATTAGGCACTTATTTCAGCACCACAATACGAGATGTTATCGTTAACGACTTTACTTCCAAAGACATAAAGATGAGAAGAAAATTTGGAGAAAGCTTAGGGAAAGGCCTAGAAAGTTGAAGATCGTCAATGCTACATAGAAAACCAACTTTCTTCTAATAGACAACATATGCTGGGTTTCAAATAACAAAATGTATCAAGTAATACAACCTGAGTGGTAAGCCCACAGTGCTTAACCATCCGCTGCATCTCCTCGTGCACAAGTTCTACACATCTTAGGCTAGGCTCTTCGAGACGCTGAATTTGTCGTTTGACTAGCAACTCAAATGCTACTTCTGGAACAAAAAGAGCTGGACGAGGACCCTGAAACCAAGTTAGTCGATGAGTCTGCGTATGAGCTTTAACCTTTAGTTTGACTCCTTAACTAGGTTAAACTTTTACCGTAGCATTCCTGATTGCAGTCAAAATGTCCATTTCAGTTAAGTTCTCGAGGGGATTGACGGATTCCAGCGATTTTCCAAATGTTTCGTGGAAAATGAAGCAAATTCGAGCCCCTCCACATCTGAAAAAAGACTGCACAGCGGTGATGACGAAATGGCAGTGTTGGACTACGAAGAAAAACGAACAATTCCGTGGTTTCAATATTGCGCGACGTTCCCTCAATTGTGGAAGTATAGGCCGTAGCGAATCGTGTAATTATTTGAAGCAAGGTCCGGCTCTTGTCATCCTATCAAACAATGGTTAGCATTCCAGAACAAGCAGAGATCAAAAGTCAAGCTTACTAAAGCAAAACTTACTACTGGCTCTCCGAACGCTTGTAAATCAGCTTGGCATTGTGCGTGCATGATTGATACTCGAGCTTTCAATGCTGGCAAACAATTACGAATGTGGTGCATGAGAAGCTTGAAAATTGAAGATCACGTATTGATATTACCAAAATTTTTTTATAAAGTTTACTGAAAGCTTACAAGGTTAAGCTTTTTCGCAAGGTATGGAGTCCCATTCCTACTAGCGAGGGTTGGATACTTGCGGTGGAGAAACGTAAGCTCGTCCTTTATAGCATCGCTGATCGGTTTATTGTCAATAATTGCTTGCTAAAACGACACTGGTTCGCATCGACAATGGGAAATACAAAAAAGATGATAAAAGTGTACTAGACATCTGTTTTACAAAGCCGCTGACATAAATACATCAGCCGGTCATAACTAAGTTTACCTGAACCCCACGACATTCTGTATCATCTCACTAAAGCATTCACATTACCAAAACAAGAAAAAAGTGTAAAGAAATAAAGTAAATCATAAAGGATAAAAGCTTCGGTGATATCCGCGCCCCGCATTCGATTTCCATTCAGAATAGTGGTGACGGTTTGATCGTTATGTGGCCTATACAATGGTTTGCGGCAGCGGGCCGATGTTCAAGTCAGTGCTTTTATCGACCCAAACGAGTATCGATCCAGGATCCGAACTTATGATTACGCGTTTATGATAGTGTGCCACTTGCCACTACACAACCTCTTCTGCTCGCAATGAAACAGTAGTTAAATGTAAGTCAATATATAGAGAGAAATCAGTTTCAACGGTTCCCTTCCAGTTTTTCAGTTTCAAGCCTCCCGGAAACGACGAAAACACTTTTGAACAAGTGCAGCAGCATTTAGAGATAACACATGATGTGGAAGATACAAAAACAGATTGTTCACTCTTCGAAGAACAGATTCATTAATTCCGTAGAAGAGCGAAGAATACGAGAAGAATAAGAGTGGGTTGAAAAGAATATCAGTTTCACGAGAATATGGTCGGAGAAGAGAGGGTTAGCTTGAAGGGAACAGTACTGAAAGCGTTTTTTTCATTTCTCATTTTAACATTTTTTAACACCAAAAATGGTGTTGTCAAAATCACCAAGACTTGGAAATATTGACGATATTCAAAATTCTACTGAATCTACTGAAGATAGGAAAAACGTGAACGTTTCAATCATCACTGGTATGACAAAGTGTGTCGAACAGGTATCCCTTACACGGAACAATGCAGAACGCGGCTTATTGGATATTCATAGAGCTTTTATATATGGAACAAATGATGAAATAGCAATTCTACATTTTCTGAGTGGACAGTACGAATACAAAATGGCAGCCATGGCTGAATTTCGAAACGAACAAAATTACCTAAAAAGACTAGCAATGCTCGGAATAACACATATCAAGTACATCTGTAAGAGGTAGTCGAGGAATGATAGAACAAATGCTGATAAATCGGTGGCAAAGCGGCCGAAAATAAAGAAGATCAAGTAATGGTTTCACAAAAAAAGGAAGCGAGAGTAGTAAACCTGAGTGATAGGTTCGTATGATTCATATAAATCCACCCATAATTTCACATGATTAGGTTCCCACCCCTGGTTTTTATTACTTTTAATGTGGGTGTAACAGCGCCGTGATAAGTTTTTCCAAAAGAAGCGCGTAGCTGGCTTTGAACAGCTGAGTTGTTCGTGACTAACAATCATTCTTGACGTCACCTACATTCGCATAAAAAGGGCTTCGATTTGACATTAGTCTTATAAGAGCTCCCATCATATAAAAGTGTTTCCAATGTTGTCAACATTGTGACTTAAATCAAGAAACTTTCTGGCGATAGAATGAAAAAAAGTTGATGATAAATTTGACAGCGCTAAGGCGAAAAACTTGACAGACCCCATTCTCCAAGAGAAGAAAGTAGTTCTTGAACAGTGCAACAATGGCCAGTAGTTTACTGTGTAAATATAACAAGCACGTTTCGAATACAACCAAGTTTCCATGGAAAGGCCAAAGCAGTAATAGAACTGACCTGAGAACGATTGACGACCCCTATGATACCAAGCTTCACTGGCACAATTTTCCCCATCAAAACATCCATGGCGTCTGTACCCTGATCCATTAAATCCAACTTAGTTAAAACTGCTAGTGTTCGTTGTCCTGAACACAAGATTCAATTCAATATGTGGAACACTATGGAAAAATTCTGATTGAAAAAAAAAACCATTGCTTTTACTGATATAAATTTTACCTTCAGGATCAACTTCTCGAGCCATTTTGATGGGCTCAGAAGTAGCAAAATCCTGATTTGCAGGAGTTACTGCCAGTATAATTGATGAAGGGTTGGAAATGTAAGTGATCAGCATTTCACGGATTTGTTCCTAAAACCGCACTACTATTTGGGACACCTGATCAGAACCCTCAACTTAGAAATAACGAACCTCGATATTTGGCGGTTGATCCCCGACGGGTATCTTTGTGATTCCAGGTAAATCGACTAGTGATAGATTGACAACATTTTTCGAGTAAATCCGCAAAATAATAGGAATAGGAGAAATACCCTTAAATAGCAGGTTCAAAACTTAAAAAAGCTCAAGACCCCCTATTATAAGGTAGCCACAAAAACGTGATAAAAAACTAGGGACGTACCTTATTTGTACCAGTCACTCTATCAGTTTCATTTTCTATTTCTTTCCTAACCAAAGAAAAATCGGTAAAGATTTTATTACCAGTATGCTCAAACATGGCCCAGTCATCTGTGATCATTGACCCTGGAAAGAAATAGATAACATGAGACACTGGGAAGATATTCCACACCGTTAACGAACCGTCAGACTTCCTCCGTCTACATTCGTCATCAGCGGGTACATGTGAAAGATGAAGTATGAGGGGTCTTCTTGTAACGATTCCTGTTCCACGAGGTAAAAAATCCCTTCCAACAAGATTTTCTAGTACTGAACTTTTTCCCGCACTCTAGAAAAAACCTGTCAATTCCAAAAGGTGTAGCAAAAAATTAAAGTACATTTGCGGCGCGAGAAATTAGCGCACTTGTAGCAGAAAATGCTAATTGCTAACCTGTGAACCAATAACAACAATTTGGGGTAATTGAATCTGATCCTCACGCCGTCCAAGGGTTGCAAAAACATCTTGTAATTTGTTTACGACTGGTATAAGAGATTCCATCCTGAAACGAATGCATGAGACTTCCCACAAAATATGGTATAGCCAATCCAGATTGTCAATAAATGCTTCGTACAGAATTAATGGACGTTAAAGCTACATAGAAATGGAATAGACGAATAAATGAATGAATAAATAAATGTCAACAACGTTACTTGCCATTATACACTGAAGAAGAAAATCGACTGTTCTGTCGCTATATCTTCACAGGGCTAAAAAAGGAAAACGCGGCGCGAGTAATCCTTCCCTTTTAGCCGGATCAAACGTCTACATCGCATTAAATTTCGAAATTTCAGAAAAGAAGGGGCAATAAGAGTCCCCAGCAAAATTGTATAGTTGAAATTGAAAAAAAAAATTGAGAGTAGAGTGATGTAGGGACATATTTCTAGAGCAAGAAGGAATCCGAAGTCTTACTCAGTGAGTCTTCCTCTAGACTGTCCGCCGGTCAAACTCGAGCAAAAAGTAATTATAAAAGATGATTTGTTGTATGAGCAGAACAAGTTTCGCGCTAAGTCGAAAAGATACCCGGCATGATAGAAAAAAAACGTAATAAATCAAGAAGAATGACAAAATGCCCAGCTCTATCACGTCATTCAATGGGGGAACATGGCAAAGGAACAAAGGGATGAATGTATGCTAGCACAAAACAAAAAGGAAAACACCCATCGATACTTGCCAGTTGGTAGACTGACTGGTTAGCCACATAATCGAATCAATGTCCACAGAAGATTCTGGACCTTTATTGTGAAACATTCGAAGGACATTGAAAACTGGATGAAATGAAAGATAAAATGATGCAAATCAATGCCAACACCGACGATCACATGAAGGCAGTGACAAATTGCCGCTGAGAACGCTCTTTCTGTAGCCTCCATCAAATAACACAGTGCTTATGATCGTTTTTGTACTCATTCCATATCATTTGCACTGTAATAGAAGAAAAACAACAGAAAACCTTACTCACAATTCCATAGAAGACCTTGCAAACAAGATCCTCAATCACACGTTTGAAATGAAGAATATACAATGGGCACGTTGTTTAACGAAAAGTTGGCCGTATTCCAAAAAAAACGTCAAAGATGATAAGTTTGTGAAGGAAAAGTTTGCATACGATCATTATTAGAGGGCAGAAATCGACGATGGCACAAAACAACCCAACTTCGCATCAAAAAACAAAAAGCCAAATGAAAAGCTGTGAGCCAACGCCAGGACGGAGCCCGGGGGCCGTCGAATCGATAAGCTCATGGGGAGGCACCTCGGGTCGTCGACAGCGCCGGCATTTTGTTAACTAGAACTGGCATTTTCTATCCAACAAGGTCTAGGTAAGTTATAAAGTTATCAATCGTACGATAGGCTGTGTCGCCGTCAATTTTCGATTGTTTGTTCATCGTAAAAACCAGCTGATTGCACGTCAGGTGTCCCTGACGACATTCGTCAAGGTTTCGCCCATATAAATGGTCGAAATCTGCTAAGAGGTAGAAACTCTATGTGTATTCAAAGAGCAAAACAACAATTTGGTGATAAGATATGGCAAGTTGCCTATGAGTCTCCGACTGATCAACACTGATGGGCGGTTGGGGCTGACGCAAACCACGCTGTGGTCTAGGTAAACGTCCCCATCGTTCAAAGTACAATTGCTATTAGGTGTTAAATGATAAACAACGTTTTCACGGGGTCATTTCTATGATGAGGGAATGGTCTGGGTCTTGATAATGCCGTCCCTTCCCCAACAGGTCTTCCTTTCCTACATTGGGCCGTTCGTTGATTTGGACCTGCTTGAAGAGATGGCCAACACTAAGGGCAGCTCGCCATAGAACTCGTTGCATATGCAAAAGAACGTTCAATGACTTCTATATTTTTAAAGAAATCCAGATATATGGCGTATTCGGAGATAACGGGCTTGGAACAATTTGTGGCATATAGGAGCCGCTTGAATAAATAAATGCCGATAAGATAATTAATCGATGATGATTTGATTTGTTTTTTAATTCTTCGAACTTAACCTTTACATACTGTAGTCAATATCGTGCGTTGATTGCTTTCAATAGATTCATTTCTATCCGGGTACGAAAATCAACAACGATGACGTAGTGGTGTAGTGTCCTAGACATTGACCCGAGTGACTAATTCATTACAGTGAGAACAGCGAACGATGGAGGAAGATCGTATGGGGATGCGGATTCAATCAGAAACAATCGAAATCACAAAAGATGACAAGGGACTGGTCGGCATTTCAATAGGTAAGTGTTCTAGCATATGGCATTAAGGGTACCTCATACCACAGCCTTGAAAAAAGTTTCAGTAGTATCTAAACGAGAAAAAAATTTATTGCACCCTTTCGCCTCTTACTGCAATTCAGCTGTGGGTCCTCACCCGGACGACTCTGTAAGAGCCGGGTGACCTTGCCGGACTTTTGTTCCTGTTCTACAAGGTTCCACGTTCCAAACGAAATATTGAAATGGAAAAGAAAAGGGCTAATCGGACTCTGGAAACTAGAGATGAGGAAAGGTGAAGAACAGGGGAAACCAAGGTGATTACATCATTTTGTTTTGTATTTGGATCAAATAAAACGAAATAAATGGTCCCTCGAAGAAGGAAGGCTGATACCGAGCCTACATTGAGTCACACCTGGCGTAACACCTTTTATGTTCAAATGATGGAATTATAGATGCACAGAAACAAATGCAAGTTTAATGAGAAGCAGAAAAGACTTTGAACAGCAATTGGACAATTTCAGGAGGTGGTCATCCATATTGTCCATGCGTATATGTGGTTCAGATCTTTGACAAGTCTCCAGCTGATGCTGATGGCAGGTAAATACTAGAATTCTCGATATCCTGGCTTAAGTCATTTCTTTTTCATGGTTACAAATAACAATAACGGTATTTCAACGCATTCACGAGAAAATTCACAACGTTTAAACATCTCAGAGGCAGATGGAATTCAAATGAAGATGGTAGCGTCCCTTGCTGATTTTCTTAAGACGTCTAAAGAGTGTACTGACCGCAATCACAGAAGATTCCATGGTCTTGCCGTCTATTGCTGAATTTTTGGGTATATTTAGCAGCATTGTTTGCAAGTCTCAGGAACTTGATCTCTACGCAAACACGATGAGTATGCAGTCAGCGTCATTCAACGTGCTGTGGGAGGGACAATAATCGGAGTTTTCCGTTACGCGTCACTGCGACGCGAATCTGGACTTCCATGCTTCATCATTAAGCGAAGGCCAGGAACGCCGTTGCTTACGCCAAGAAATCGAAGATCATGTGGGCCGAACATGTTATGTGATATGGCGATGATCGCTGGATCAGGGCGGTTACTGACTGGTTCCCTCAAACGTCAAACGAACATCGCGAGGGTCACCTTGCTCACCGTTAGAGTTCACGAGCGGTCCAAATGAAAGGAGTTTTATGCCCATACTCCTCGAGCGAGGACGATCCAATGGACTACTCCGGCTCGAGACAGGGGCGAATGAATTCGTTATAGCGCCCGCTCGAGGAAATCTGTGATCAGCGGGACAACTGTTGATATGTCACGCATTGAGTCCCACCCCCGAGCTGCCTTTTCTGGGAGTGAAGCAGGCCCCTCGAAGGCAAGAGTAGGAACATTGAGGCTGACACTTGACAACATAACATCTCAGAAGCGATGTTTGGTCTCATGTGGAAAGCCTGTCAAGTGAACTGGATATTGTAAAAGTGTACAAATAGTAACCTAGTCCTCAAGAGAACTTCCAGATATCTAAGTTCAGGTTTGAAGATGGATCGTTTTCTACCGGTCATAATCGTAAACGCTGTTGTTATGAATCACGAAACTCATGAGACGAATAATCGAAGTCCTTTTTGGACAATATCTTAACTGTGGATCTGATTTTCAAGGTTAATGTGGGAACTAAAGGATAATTGATTTCGAAAACGAGCAGAATGGTGAGAGATTGAGTGCAGTGTTCACGTCTGCGACAGAAACTACTAGGTAAAGAAAAAAAGTGATGGGCTTGGCGTCAATGACGATCAATTTGTTTAGCATCCAACGAACATTCGCAGATGTAATACTTTGAGTCTTTGCAATTGTTCTTTGCTCCAACATGGGAGATTGTTTCCAGGGAAGACTTAAAGTATTTTTATATTTTTTTATATTGTTTGTATCGACACAATACAGACAAGGAGGAAGAAGTTGCGGTAGGTAGACATTATTGAGAAGACGACTCCGGAGATTTTGGGCCCTCAGGACTCCTTGCGTTTTCAACAGACACGTTTCACACGCCTCGCTGCTGATTTATTCAGAAGTCAACTTCAACTTTGGAGCAAGCAGGTAAAGTAGTGGGGGTAGTGCTCGTGCAAGAGATTAGGTTCGGAATGGGAGCTTACCCAAGCTAACTAGGCCTTCCATTTTTCGGAGTCGTTGACTGGTCGCAAACGTTTCTACAGGATATTTAAATTGTTGTCGTTTCATTGCCATATGTCATCGTGCAGGTTGAGTACAACGCGACTCTGATAAAAACCGAATACATGGCCCATCCTTAATTGATAATAGCAGATGGTTTGAGCTTTATCTATTAAAGTCGACTTGAGCTATGGGAATAGAGTAAGCAATGCTTCACCAACAAAGGCCTTGAAAGTGGAAATTTAGGTAGCGTTTCGAGAACTCTATACGTAACTCGATGTTTTTGCTTCTCGGTCCCATGGGAGCCTCGCCTTGCAATGAATCTTTGTACATTGTTTTATTTCTTTGAGAAAGCTTTCGGTGTTATACTCATGAAACGGAATGCTCCCTAATGCCGCAAACACTTTCAAAGGAATCTCAATAATTAATGCATGTAATGCTTATTTAGGTTGAGAACTGAGCTCCAAATCTGAGCAGAATGAGAAAAGGGGCATGGGAGCATTCGAGAATATCGAGAAAGTGGTAAAGAAGAGACAGGGAACATCCTCATTCTTCTTATTGCTCAACTGAGAAACATTTGGCTTCTAGGCAGACAGGGGGGCGAGATGTGATCGTGATCGTTTGACTTGCTGAGAGAGACAATACCCGAAGTTACTTGAGTAAGAGGAGAACATGCAGGTCCGATACCTTGCTCCGTATCTAAGTGAGGATGAAACCTATTCGATTTTTCGATGTTAGCTGCTATTGAAATCGATATATGCTCATGTCGCCAGGACTGAACATTGAAATCACACAGAAGTTCAAGAATTTTATGTGCAATATTTGTGTGATGGCTTTCTGGGAGGTGAACGAAAAGTTAACGATCCCACTGTTCGACACAGCCAGCTGTTTAATAGCTATTCCCTGCTTTAACTCGGAGCAGGGTTGACTTGGTAATTGGTGCTGGAGCGTTTAACGAGTCGTTGGCTTCAGCCGAGGTCGTCCTAGAACGGGGTGGTACAGACAAATGTATACGAATCTATGCGAAAACATCCTATCTTAAAATCCCTCCAGATGTCATGACAGAGTCCAAAGACGTCTGAATTTTTTGCTCTAAGACCGTCGGATGCGTGGAGCACCGTATTGCAACAAAATAACACCAAACAATAACAAAACAAAATAACACCAAACAAGTTGTCTACTCCAGGTTACCTTATGACAGTAAGTCGTACCTCGCTTCGAGACGACTAACATGGAACCACTGCGCTAAGAGATCAGATCTAACGCCACACCGTCTGCTTCTCTTCCATTGACACTTAGGAACTTTCACGTGAAAAGACATCCGTATGCATGCATTTCTATATTTCCCTTAAGTTTCTAGTAGCAAATACTTCTTTCATGATAATAAGTTTCAAATATCAATCTGGTCGAGCACAGTGTGAAAGCATTTGTTGGAAAGTTCGTGCTTCTTTTCTCTGCTGAAAGATCGCTTTGTTGAAGGATACGCGCTGGGGACGAGGTGGTGGCAGTGAATGGGATTACTGTAAAAGGTGAGCGAAAGTCGGCCGTCGCGCAACTGATCCAGTGCAGCACTAATCCTGTCAAGGTAGGTTTTGGAGATTTATCTACATTACATTACATCTAGACCTCGGCCTATTGAGGGAAGTCATAAAACATCAGTTAGAATGTTTTGCTTCGAGAGGTAGTTTTGTTCGAAGACTGGTTTTGGCCAACGTACACACCCGAAAATGGCCGTGTTATGATGGTTCCGGCCTTGTTTTGGCCGTTTTTCAACCCGACAATGCTCTTCACTCTCCTGGGAGACCACGTGTTCATTCTTGGCGGAATCTCGCAAATCATTTTGCTCCAACTATGCTTCAAATGAGCCCTTTTGTGACTACACCTGATAGTTGTTTACTCTACAAAAAGTAACTAATAATATAGACTCGGATCGTTTCGCCTGTTGCTTTGAAAAAACTCAGAATGATTCATAGTATACATTTCAGATAACCATCAATAAGTTGGAAACGGACTCATCGAAGGGGAAGACGCTGGACATTATGATGAAGAAAATCAAACACAAGGTCTACAATTATCAAATGACTTCATGCTTTACAACCCTAATTGCACTGGTTTTTTTCAGATCGTCGAGTTCATGGACACCGATTCAGCTGATGCACTCGGCCTCTCTAGGGCGATTCTGTGTAATGACCCTTTATTGAGGAAAATGAAGGTTTGTAAGCTATGTATCCGAAAGGGGAAGAGTGGATGATCAGCGAAGTCGCACTGGTTGCTTTTATAGTCCGCCGGCCGGCCCGCGAGCGCGCGAGCGCGGACTATGAAGGCAGCCACTTCTGCCGCTCGCTGATCGCACGGGGCAAATCCGTGCCCTCACGAACAGGTTTCTCAGACTTCCACTGACTTAGGCTTCTCTTTAGGTGCTCGAGGACAACACGCAACTTTATCGAAATCTGATTGGTTACTTCAGTGATCTTTTCTATTTTCAAGAGAAAATTAGTCATTGCCAAAAAGGTTTGTTACCTTTTCCTCTGTTTCGTTTTACATTTTTATCACTCTTTATGTACCTCCCGTAGCTAAATCCTACTGCATCACCCATACGATACGATACCACACAAAACAAACAGAAGAAGGCAAGTTGTAGTTCCCTGACAGTACTGCAGACTGCAGTTACATCGTCTCCATCCAGCAGTTTTTCCAAAAAAATACGGCAAAAAGGAAAGAGAATGAGCTTCAGCCGAGAGTCTAAGCAGTTTGTTGTAATTAGTCAGCGTAGTAGGCTCATAGAACTTCTCTAAAGAACTAACGGTGATTCGATATTTATTGACTTCAGCTGAACTTGCTCAATTCTTCCACAGGTGCTTACGATTGCCTCGCTCGGTTCATAACATGCTAAATAGCATGTCTACCATTAATTCCCATCCTGCTGGACGTAATTCATTCCGAATGGTTTCGAATGGGATCGGGCTTCACGCATTCCATCCTATTAATCTAGGTCAGAAGGAATACCTCGCAAATGCGCAGCCACTTTCATGAGCAACTGTCCTGGAAATCGTTAGAGGCTATGGGGACGAACTCTGTTGGCGGATTAGTCTCCTGCTTCGCAAAATACTCTTCACTATCATATCAGGTGTTAACATCGAGTTAGAGAAGTTCTCCAACCATGAGTGGGTCAACCCAGCAGATGAGAGAAACCATCTCTGCGGAAAATTTCACCTCTAGCTCCATCCACACCAATGAATATATGTATATAGAGCGTGAACACGATTAGAACGAGGGATGTTTCTTTGGTGCACTCTTCTTACATTTCCCCTACAATTGGGACACGGCATGGGATTCCTTTGGGTTCACTGCTCCATAGGTCAATGCGAACACTCTGAGGGGCTTCTTAACAAATCTTTCGCTATCGGGGATGGCACGTTTCCACTTCAAAGAAGAAAGCTAATTGAGGTGCAAAGTCTAGCGGAAGGTTGATATTTACTGTTGTACTTTGATGCAGTCGTAGCTGACTAACTCCAGGAGAAATGAAGATCATTGAACAGGAGAAGAGAACCGGATTCAAAAATGACAACTAGTAAAAACGAGGGGCATATATAGCATCAGAACTATTCAAATTCTCTGGTCCAACAAGACCAATACCAGACGAAAGCCTAGGGTAAGGATGCCTAAATAACACTGTAATTGACTGCAACACACATAGGATATACAGCCTACAACATTCACCCAGAGGATATTCGGTAGAGGGATTGTGGGTACGCTCTTTGTTGTGAAGCCAATCTCAGGCCAAAGTAACCAAAGCGAAAAGTCTTTAATCAAGTCTTCAATTTATAACTTAATCCTCGGAATTCTCTCCTGAGCCGTACTCCCTACCTAACCTAGGAGTAACCTAGGAATAGTATATTATATCACAAATTCGATTAATCCCAAAGAATTGCGTTTTCCCTTGTTTGAGTGGTATATGCACTGTAACGAATGCCAGAGATTCAGATTTTGGCGACATCTTCTGCGAGTTAGCCGCTCACGAATCGCATGCGAACGCTAATGAGGCATTCACAGTGTTTGGAGAAGCCCACCGTCAACTTAGTAAGAAACAGGTATCCGCTCATTATAGATAAATACCTTTCATGAATTGTTCTGGGAAGTTCTTCTTGCAGAGCGACTCGCTGAAGAATTTGCGACCACTTATTGCTGATCTCGTCACATACGTCGACAAAGTCATTCCAGATACTCAACTTACTTTGAAAAAGTTAGTGTCGAATTAGCAGTTTTGTTTTCCTCCAAGGAACATAACTACTAGCTACCTCGAAATTAAAAATGAAGATGGCTTTGATTGAAAAGGAAAATGAGCCAGCTTTAGAGGTGACCAGACGGAAATTGTGAATCGATAGGGAAAGCCTGCACTTGGGATGACCTGTACCCTAATGAGATAGATTCTCGCAGTCTGAGGCAGTTTGGCAGGCTGTTCCCTTTCAGAGAAACATGAGCAAGAGTGCTATCATCGTAAAACCTTGTTCAGGAAAACTCCCATTCATGGGCAACAGTGGCGTCACGGTAATTAGTCCTTTCCTACGACTTTCTCAGAACTCACTTGTCTGAGCCTGTTGCCATTTCAACAATTGCTTTTCAACACAACACGGTTTTAAAAGTCCCAGGAATGTGTGATACAGTAACCAGAAGACGTGCTCAAGCGCCTCCAAACACTGGCGTTGCAGAGGGGGGACGGGGGAGAGTGAAGCATAACCTGAAATACAGGTGCCACCTTTCAAGCGACCGGTTAACTGATGCATATGGGCTGGTTTATGCCCTTATTAGAAAGAGAGTAAAAAATCGAAGTGAGAGAGATAGAAATGGACCACGTCCTTGGTTTCAATGCGAACTGTACCTTCCATAGAAATCGATCAGGACGCATCTGTATAGGCCGCTTCCAACGTATAAGGCTTGAAAAGCGGCACCATTCTCGAGGACACCTATCGAATCTTTTTCAGATATCTCGATGTTAAATACGAGTACTTGTCTTACTGCTTGAAACTGAAAGAAATGGACGATGAGGAACTTGAGTATCACTCTCTAAACGAAGGCCTTTATCGAGTGGAGACAGGCAATTACGAGTACCGGTAGGTTGTACCGACAGATTTCTTTGATTTTCTTGACATAGTTATGAGTGGGATGACTTTCTTAATCACGGAACCTTTGAAAACTGTTTCTTGTGTTAAAATTTTGGAACAATCATATCACTTCACAATGAAATCCATGGGTTCTTCAACTAAGACGGCGTGGCGCGTTCGCCGGGTGTTAGGGCCCACAGTATAAGTTTGAGATTTAAATCCCCACTGAGTGATGGTGGTGTGTAGCTGCCGCGGAACCATTGGGCCTACCTACGATCGTAGGGATCCGGGGGTCCGCCACCCTAATAATCAGCGTTGAGGCAACTCGTGCTTGCCAGTTCCATCCCTGTCCTGATGGGCACCATGTCCTGGAGAAAGTAAACGGGTAATGCCAGATTAAAGCATTAGGCATAAGTTATCGTTCTGGCTGACGGGCAGCCCAGTCACAGAAAATTTTTCTAAGCAACCAAATTCCTCTTCTTGTCTTCAACATGGGCTTTAATCTGACCAGTCTGCCGGGCTGCTCTTATTACCGGTTGGCTCTACCTATTCCTTACTCCTTTTCACTATAATCTCTTGATTCATCTCAACTTTTCATTTTACCACATGTCCGTTAGCACCTTAAGGTGGTGGATAAGCTGGTTGCCCATCAAGTCTAGAGGAACCCGTTCGGGTACTCAAAGAAATCGAAGCGTTCCCTTTTCCCTTCTTTTCCTAGGAATTCTTCCCTCTATATTTTCTACCCCTTCAATCCTCTTGCGCTGTTTTCAATGGACTATCGTATCCGCCATGTTTATACCCACTTTAGTTTGATGCTCCGTTGTCGCCAGGAAACAAGGCAAAAATTCATACAGATGCGAAACGATGTTATGATAAAAATCGAGTTGTTGGATCAGAAACACGGTAAGCTCTGCATTACTGAGCTGCTAGGTAGCCTAAAAAGTATTTTAATTATTTTTAGTGAGAGATATCGCTCAACATCTGG